TATGAGTTATCCACTTTGGGTGGAGGCGCAGTAGCCTTAATTGACCATCCCGAGTTTTGGTGGAGGCGTAGTAGCCTTAATTGCCCATCGGAGTGTGCACATGGGTACGGACATAGTGTCTAAGATATTCAGTTCAGTTACCGATCTAGTCTCGGGAGATTACAGTTTACTTATATATACATGCGATCATGATATTGATAGCATTATTAATGTTTACTTTAGTATGAGTTCCTGCGCACAGTGGCTTTAGTGCTCACGCCCCCACTATATTATCTTTTTCACATGATAGAGTCGGTCCCGAGGAGTGAGCGGAGCAGGTGGTCGTTGGTCCAGTACATATGCTTTTGCATACTCATGATATGTAGATATTATTTTGCCATGATTTTACTTCCGCTGATGTTTTCAGACTTTCAAACTTGTGTGTTAGTTTCCAGATTCTGATCCGAGCTTTCCGGTCGGATTTTATACAGTATTACACGCTTGTTTGACTAAAAATAACCCGTTTTTCTTTACAGCTAAAAATTAAATGATGATAACGGATTTTCACAGCAATGAATGGGTTTTAGTAGCATCCCGATAAGGATTTCGCAAATAAATATGTTTTATTAAGAAAAGTTTTGCGAAAAACGCATTCTGATTTTCATGAAAAAGCGGGGTGTTACAGTTGGTATCAGAGCACGTTATTGTGTATCTGAATACTTTATTAAGTCAGAGATTTTTAGAAAATCCGACCACGCCACGCTCACGCCTCGCCGACTACCAGGTAAGTGCTGATTTACAGTTTATATATTTAAACAAATGCCTATGTAACACCCCGCCTAAACTTACTAAAATCAGAGAAAATTTTTCGCGCTATAATTGGAAAGCACTGCTTTAATTTTCGAAAACACATATTAATTTTTCGAAAATACTTTAACTTTAAAACACGGGTTGCTACTCAACTTTAATCTTATATCTTTATCTCTTAATCTATCATGCATGAGACCAAGTAAATTCATTCTAGAATTAAGGCCATGAATAATACCGAATAACACATGCATATTATGAAAATCTGACATAATCTGACATCTGAAATACTAGTCTGAAATCTGACATCTGAAACTCAAGTCTGAAATTCTGAAATATTGTTCTAAAGTGCGGAAGCAAATATAAATTCAAACATCGAGACAAACATGCAGCAAACGAACATAAATAAAGCATAATTAATTCAAACAATTCAAAACATGACATAACACAAATATCTTGACTGATGACCACCACCACATATCCGGCTCACGCTGCACGCGGGACTCCGTCACCTGAAAAAGAGGGTAGTGGGGAGGCGTGAGCACAAAGGAATCAACGGTGCTCCGCCGGGACCGGCACTGATATACTCAGCACAATTAATAATAAACTATGGAATCAACATATATATGAATAAACTGGTCTGACTATGGGACTAACGGTAAACCGGTACTCATGTGCACACTCTGGGGGTCCCCTCCCACAGAAATCCAAGCTGGGCCTCGCCCACTCATCTGGACGCTGGACTTAGGTTGGGCCTCGCCCACTCATCTAAGTCATAACTGACATCTGATATCTTGACCAAGACTGGATCACTCATCCGTCTCGGTCCTTCAATTTAATCACATATAGATCTCAGACATGGTAAATTATTAAAAGCGATGAAATACACAGTACATGATCCCCACCTGGAAAAACGGCGAATGCGGATGCTGAAATATCTGAAATATGTTGTGTAGCAGGCGG